ATGAACTAATCAAATACTAGTAATGTGGTTTTTAATGCTGCTAAACTTTTCTAAGCATATTGTCTGGGTCCTTTATTTCAGGAAAAATAACCAATTTTTATATTATTTTGAATGGCTGTATTAAATAACCATCAGAGTCTATGGCAGGTACAACAATCATACTAGAGACTACGTGCCTCACCTTTAAATCAGCACATAATCACTGTGTATGGTGTCTGGGACACTGACAGTTCAAGGTGCTGGGACTGAAGAGATGGCTCAGCCATTAACAGTGTGTTATACCTGAGTTCAGATTCTCTACAAGAGGCTGAGTCACCTCTCCAGCCACATAAATAAATCTAAAAAAAAAAAAAAGTAAAACAAAAAAGAAAAGTTTAAATTGGGGAAAACCAAGCCAATCTCTTGAAGAGAAATCTCAATCAGGAACTGGGTACTCACCTCTGAAACTCTGAAGCCAGATACTGCGCCAAGGTTTCTGTGAAATGCGCACCCCCTACGTTATCATTGCTGTTCGTTGAAAGAACGCGATACATCCCGCTGTTAACTTCCATGACGCTGAGGGATAGGGATGTTCCTCCAAGCTTAAATACCAGAACATGGCTTCAAGAAAGGAGAAAAAGAAGGGTGACACACCCAAGACTAAACATTTCAAAGCCAGACTGCACCTCTGGACCTGACAGCAGCTGTCGCTGGCCCTCGCCTGTCTCTAGTCAGTGCTGAAGTCAGCCTTGAACACATTCTTGTGAAACCAAATCACTGCCCCTTCCCATCAGCCACGCTGAAGAAACCTTTTTATGAGGACTAGACTTCAAACACTAACTATGAATCTGAACAGATTCAAGTACAGAAATCCTGTTAATTTTACAGAAGTTACCACAACAGCTTCTGGGTCTAAAGTACAAGGACACTAGAAGCCAACTCCCTTAATTTGTAACATTTTTATATTAATCTAGCTTATCTCAAAATAATTTCCTAGTGATTTATACACTTTAGTTTCTCTAACCATGAGAAATTTGGACAGGGTAAAACAATTTGGAAAAGTCAACACTGTATCTAAATTAATTTCTCTAAGCGTGTGGCCATCAACTCTGCTAAGGTAATGCCGACTGTTTCTAAGCATGTTTAAACACTGGAGTGCGGTAAGATCGGTAGCGCTCGAGTGTCAGCTGCCAACTGGATCAGTCTGTAATTACCCAATTTCTACAACAAAATGAGGGTGACAGGAGGACTCTCAGCTTCCGCTTGCCTGCTTTCCCTACCTCCTTCTCAGCTGTTCCGGACTAGTGAGATGAGTTTCACGCGCCTTTCCTATGCCAAGGTCGGCACCATGCTGATGGGCATAACTGCTGTAATCGCATTGAAAACGACAGATGCGGTATTTACCTCTTCCCAGTGGGGCAGTCTTGTCCAATCCCATAAGCAAGAAGAGCTGCAGATGGCTCATGTATTAGTCGCAACACGTTAAATCCAGCGGCTCCAGCTGCTTCTCTGTAAACAATTTGCTCTCAATGAATCTTAGATCACAACATGCTCAGTCCTATACTTGTAGGGGTGCTCTGCTGAAAGGTTCGTGCACTAGCAAATGATACTCAAAGACAGTGCAAGAAATAGAACATGTGGAAAGGAAAGGACAGGAATCCACTGTTTAAAAATACACTGTTCAGAGCCTGTTTTCTTGACAAAATAGTTTGTGTTTACATTGAACAAGAAAAAAATAAACTGTCAGGGCTAGGGGGTGGCTCAGCTGGTAAACAGGCCTGCTACACAGGCATGAGGGTCTGGGCTTGAATCTCCAGCACCCACATAAAACACAAGTATGATGGTGTGTGTGTGTGTGTGTGTGTGTGTGTGTGTGTGTGTGTGTCTGCACACGTGAGCACGGCAGGGGACAGGACAGGATCAAGGAGCTTGATAACCAGGCCGCCCAGGCATACGGTTGAGGGCCAGGTTCAATGAGAGACCCTGTCTCAAGAGACGGGGTGGAAAGTGACTGAAGAAGACAGCTGATGGGGACCTCTGGCCTCCAAAGGTACCGCAAATACACATGCACACTACACACGTGTGGATACACACAAAAAAGAAATAGGAAAAGATAGCTCTCAAATACATCTACATTTAAAAGAAAAGAAGTTCACTTCTTTTGGGGGAGCCTTTGGGCTCTGAAAGTCTAGAACGGGTACCTTGCCTCCATATAGCTCAGAATATCCCCCTTTGGAGCAACAACCACAGTCATAATTAGAGTTAATTCTGAGGTCAGAGCCACATCTCACTCCTCTCTATGTACTCTACTGGAATATACTGTACCTTAGGAGGTAAAAGAAATCAGTAATTTTTGACTGAATGAAGAAAGCAAATAAATCTCCATGATTGCAAATTTTAGGAAGTGATAAAAATATCTAAAATATTGTGAAATCCCCCAATTTCTTCGCTTTGGACCCACAATTAATTCTCTGCTTGCTACAACACAGGTAAGGAAACTCACTCACACTCTTGACACCTGTGAGAGTCAAACCTAACTTTTTCTGCTTAGATGTTAAGAACTAAGATAAACAATAATTAACTGGTTCCAAGAAATCCCCTTTCTCAAAGTCTGGTATTTGACAAATCAGCATCCCTACCTAAAAGGAAGCATTCTCCTCATCTCTAGAAGGGACTCTGGCTCTCCATTAACACACACCTGTGGTGCCCATTAGCTTATCAAGGTCTATGCGAGCTTCTAAACTTCTTCAGCCCCCACCAGATGTGTACCTGTTACATACTTCAAAGTCCTTGACCCCACCTTACAGATTCCCCACCTCCCAGGGACCCAGTTCCATTAAAACCCTGGAACCCCGCCCCTTCCTCACAACCCCAGCCTCCCTGAGACAGCCTTGGTGGTTTGGAATAAACATATCTCTTTTACCCTTTAGTTTCTTTACTGTGCCCATTTTATTCAATAATCACCCTTTTTATTTTTATTTTTTTACAGCATCCTTATGTATTTCCCACATAAGCTTCAATTACATGAAACAGGCAAAGTGCAGTTCCCAATAAAACAGCTGAGAAGGCACACAGCATTTAATACTAAATTCTCCTGGTGCTTCATAAAAAGAAGTATTAATGACATTACCATGAAATACAAATGCCACTGTACTGCCTAGGCTAGTTCCAAATGTAACTTCACGCTTCATTACCGAGTGCGATTTGTATTTCTTCTAACTAACCAAGTTAAGGCAGTACACTTACCCCAGAGCAGATTTTTGCTTTTCTCCAAAATCAAATGGGACGGTAATAACTACATCATTTGCATCTGAGCCCAAGACAGAATGTGCTGTTTCTGTACATTTACAAGGAGACACAAATACATTATGATAAGACGCGTCAGGTGATGAAACAAACACTCTGTAGTTTCCTAACCGAGGCCAAAGATCTTCTCACGAAACAAAACTCCCAATTTTGCCCACCCTGTCCACTCCCCTCCTATGGCTCTTAAGTCATGAGTGCTTCTTGTGGTTTTCATGATGGCACGTGGGCACAGAACTGGTACTTCCCAAAGAGCCTGGCTCTTCATCCTGGACTGAAATCTAAATTAGATTGGGTCCAGGAACTAGTTCCAAAGACATTAATGTGAAGATTAATGTTCTCAAGCTCAGGACATTAAAAGACTGCCTTGCCTCTCACAAGATTTTCTGTTTGTTTCTCAAGACAGGGTTTCTCTGTGTAGACCAGGCTGCCCTCAAACTCAGGTCCACCTGTCTCTGCCACCTGAGTGCTAGGATGAAAGGTGTGTGTCACCACAGCCAGGCTCTCACCAGATCTTAACAACCGCAAAGCTGAGCCTGGTAAGGAATATACACTAGAATTCCCCACACTGTTCTACAAAGTGCACTGACTCTCCCGGCCTTCTGGAGCGGTGATAAACCAAGGAGCAATCAATCTGTCCACATCACCATGGGGAGGGCACTCCCGACCTTGAAGTTCTCAAACTGTCTAAACAGCTGGAATCTGCACTGCGCCAAAGCAGTGCTCAACACGTCTGTGATTTTGGAAAGTTTGAAGTTAAGAATTTTGGATTAGGGATTCTTAACTGGCAGATTCTAGGGAGATATCCCCAAATTTGAAAATCTCTAAAATTTTAAATACTTCTGGTCCCAAGAGCTACTCAGCCTGTCCTTACAGGGAAGGTTAAGGTCAGAGCCAATTGGTAGCCAAGCAAAATCTAGTTTAGATCTAACTGCGAATTTGTGGACTCACTCACTGTTTGTCCCTTCAAATCTTTTTGTTTGCTTGCGTGTGTGAGCGCATGCACACATGCATGTGCATGTTAGGATGTCTTTAACTTGCCAAGAACTCTTCAAGTAGGCCACGATGGCCAGCCAGCAAGCCCCAGGTGCACATCTATCTCCAGCTTCTCACACTGCAAACCACCGTCCCAAGTCTTTTAAAGTTAAGAGTTAGGGGCTGCAGAGGTGGCTCAGTGGTTAAGAACATGTATTGTTCTTACAGAGATCCAAAGTTCAATTCCCAGCACCCACATGAAGCAGCTTACAAGTGCTTCTAATTCTAGCTCCAGAGGATACCACTACCCTTATGCACATATACTGACATATACACTTGTATGTGTAAATAAATATCACATATATTTACATACACACACACACATATATACATACATGAAGTTGTAAAGTAATTTAACCATCAGTTTTTGTGCAGTACCTTTCATTTTACTGAATATCAGTCTGGCAACATCTTCTGGATTAACAAATTTTGTTTCCTCCCCAGTATCTATTTCGTATCGCAATTTTCCATTTTTCTCAGTGACCTAAAAAAAAAAATTACAATTATGCCAAATGTAGAAAAATTTAAATAAGAACTTTAAATGAATTTCAGTTTAACACTGTATGTCATGAACTTTGGCAATTAATTGCTTTGAGTAAAGAGGAGAGAGTAAAAGAACCATACTCACTGAACATTTACTTTCCGAGATGTATTTCTGAGCTTGTGGATCGGCAGGGCTGTTCATAAAGAGATAGATACCTTAGCATTAAAAAATTAATATTGTAGATACATAAGGCTTAAAGAAGTCTGTACTCTTCACACCACTGAATAGATACAAAAATATATCAACAATTTAACTGATCAATAATAAAAGAGGCTTGAATTTAATGGAGGATTTTATAATAGCTATAATTGTTCTTTGCATTTGAAAGTAATTATTGTTCTGACCTTGCCACACATTTTTGAATGAACTGAACAATGATCTTACACCCTACACTTTAACACCTATGACCTTGCAGACCAAACCAGAGATACAAAGGAGGCTAAGACTGCAAATCCAGGGTAAAGACTTCACCACACATTTGTTGCTGGGTTTCTATACATAAAAAATTAATACCAAAAACCAAAATTTTGAGCAAAAGTATGGATGTTGCATATGGAAAATTGTACTAAAAGACATTATGTTAATACCCATATAAAATACCAAATAATGGCATCTATGAAATGTAAAAATGGGTTATGTCACTAAGATGTTAATGTTTGCAGCTGACACTATTTTCACTCATAATACCGAGGGGGGCAGGCTAGGTATGCATTATTTTAGAGACATGCTCAGAGAGGGGTGGTGGCTTACAGGACAGAGCCAGGACTTGACCCCAGCTACACTTCAGCAGCCTTCCCTAACACTGTGAGCACTCTGTGAATTCTGTTTATCAAAGACAGTAAGAACTCCGATCCTTCACTTAGTTTCATGTAGAAATTGAGACAGACTAAGCTGCCCCTTCCTAGCAGTCTTCCAAAGAGCCGTGGCTATTCTCTGTACGAAGTATTCAGAGCTTAATAGGAGCTGGAAATTAGTAGTGGCCACATGAGAACCTTATCCTCAGCTGTCTGAGGGGACAGAAGGGTTTACAATGGGCTAAACTGGTCTAGAATCCTGGAATCACATGCAAGTTCACCTTCCCTTTCTCCGATCTCCTAAAAATTGAGAATTAATTAGTAGAGGCCAGATGTAAGCTTGCCCCATATGTCACAGCCACATTAATGATATAATTGGCCAGCAACCAGATCTACAGTGTAGAATTTAGGTTTCTTTCTTTCTTTCTTTCTTTCTTTCTTTCTTTCTTTCTTTCTTTCTTTCTTTCTTTCTTTCTTTTTGGTTTTTCGAGACAGGGCTTCTCTGTGGCTTTGGAGCCTGTCCTGGAACTAGCTCTGTAGACCAGGCTGGTCTCGAACTCACAGAGATCCGCTTGCCTCTACCTCCCGAGTGCTGGGATTAAAGGCGTGCGTCACCATCGCCCGGCTTTTCTTTCTTTTTTTAAAGAAACTGCCTGGCCCTCCTGTTTTTCTGAACCATGTGACCCTCATTCCAGATATTTCAAGGGAAGTAGAAGAGAGTGAGATTTTGTACCAGTGTTCTAAGCTCTGCATAATTCTCACATATTCAGAACAGAATTCATGCTGGCCAGAAGCATCTACTATATGGAGTTGAAGTTATTAGCTAATAGCATAGGGTCATTTTCAAGGAAGAGTGTTTACAGAATTGATAGAACTAGAAATTTATTTCTTGACTGTCATGCAGAGAGGGTCCGAGGACAGCGTGCAATACACACAAAATGACACTGGAGACTCACAGTAGACACAGAGAAAGCAGGATAGAGGTGACAAAGGATCAGCTGTCATCAGAAAGCAGTGGACAGACGCACAGTTCCACACAAGTCAAAACTTTATTTGTCCACACCAGGATTAAGGTATGTAACAGAGAAACAGGCGGTGGGTGGCTGGCATAGAGGGCACCCGCGGATCCAGGAGGTTGGTCCTACCATGGCATCACAGCTTCTCACCAGCGACGCCATGTCCACCCTCTCAAGTCTCTCTGACAGTTATCAGGGCCCCGGGGTTTGCTGACACCAGCACTCACGTGCTATGGCCTCCTTCGCACTCCCACTACACTCCATGCCCACATCTACACGGACATTCACCTGTGCACTGGGTCCTCACAACACCCCTGTGAGGGAGGTAGGACAGATGAAGACCCTGAGTTACACAACAGTGAGAGGCTTGTTGGAGGAGGTAAAGGGAAGGTGAAGGTCAGGCCTTCCTTGCATGTGGCCTCTACCACCGAACTGTCTCCTTTAGTATTTTGCAAGTTTTCTTGTTAACTCCTCAGGACCTAGTATTTGATTCCCTTATTTTGGTTACTCTGCCCATTAGGGTTTTCAAAATACCTCAATTTAACTCCACTTCCGTTCCTTAGCATTTCTCCCATATCGAATAGATGCCCACCTACATGTCACCATTTGCTCTCTATGGCCAGGTCTAAGTCTCCTCAAAGTACTTCCCTGTCTCCACCCCCCAGAATACTTATCAGTATTAGCTTTATTTGGTTATGTCCTGGCCTAACCTGGTTAACGTCATGGCCTAAAACATGAAACAGCATACCCTTATATATCCACTTCAATGAAAGAAAGACATCTATCTACGGATGTTCAGTATGATGCTCAGAAATCTCACCAGAGTATCAATAGACATCAATACTATCGAGGTGTCCTTAAATCCAACTGTAAACAGTATTTCAAGCATACATGAGTACTACTGAGCTCCCGTAGCAGACTGAAAATATTATAAAGAGTTCACCTCTACTTTTACCATTCTAGAACTGAAAGGTATTATAAAAATTATCTAGTAGAAATCCCTCAACCTAGAGATTAAAAAAAATGGTGGCACAACTAGGGTAAGTGGTTCAGCCAATGAAAACAACTGTGACAGGATTGGAGTCCAGGAGTCCTAGGCAGACCCCAGTGTATTGCACACACACACACACACACACACACACACACACACACAGAGCTCATGAGTCCTAGGCAGACCCCAGTGTATTGCACACACACACACACACAGCTCATGAGCCCTAGGCAGACCCCAGTGTATTGCACACGCACACTGCTCGTGTGAGTTCTAGGCAGACCCTAGTGTATTGCACACGCACACTGCTCATGTGAGTTCTAGGCAGACCCCAGTGTATTGCACACGCACACACACACAGCTCATGAGTCCTAGGCAGACCCCAGTGTATTGCACACTCACACTGCTCGTGTGAGTTCTAGGCAGACCCCAGTGTATTGCACACACACTGCTCATGTGAGTTCTAGGCAGACCGCAGTGTGTTCCACGCACACTGCTCATGTGAGTTCTAGGCAGACCCCAGTGCGTTCCGCACACACACTGCTCGTGTAGCCTCATCTTCCAGCAGTGCGCTCTTACACCTGTTCATGGCTCCAGGGATCCCACCACTGTTTTGTCCTTTTCTTTACTAATTTACATGTCTAGCTTTCCTGTAAGCACCTGACCGCAATGTACCCCACTCACCCCCTAAAAAACTCTTAAGACATTTTCTCCCAAGCTTCCTAATTGCAGGAGGACTTTTAAACCCCTAAGAGTCTTACCTGTGTTTCTACAGCACTACAAGACCTAATAAGAACCAGTTCAGTGACGGCCAATAGCATGGCAGTGTAGTTTATCACCACTATCTCCTCACAGGGATGTGTGTCTGGGTGAGGGCTTGGGGCTTAGAGAGCTGTCTCTGGGATTGGCCTCCATCACCTCCCAATATTCTCAAAACTAAAGGGCAAACAGAGCTGCTCTCTGACACCACGCCCATTAGTCCTATGATCTCTTGTTTACAACTTAGGGAAAAAAGTTACTCTGGATCTGCAATCAGCCACAAGCAGATTGGAAATGGATATAATCCAGGTTGTTTCCATGTTCAAATGGCAACCACAATGTAAACATATAACAAATGTGTCTAAACGGGCTCAAATAATACGAAAGGCAAAGAATTTACTTACACTCTCCACCTTATAAAACAGTCACTGTTTTACCCTCTCGAAGTCTACCGACACTAACCGCTTACCTCCACAGTACACAGTACCGGGTCCTCATCTCTACAAAGACCAGGAACGAGTGAAATGACGGCGGGAAGCTGGTCTGAGAGAAGTGCTAGCAAGTAGGTATGTCAGAGACACAGCGGTGAAAATGTAAGCGACAAAGACACAAACACAGCTGTGTCCAGACTAGTGACCACAGAGAGGGTTAAGAACGTACGATCACGCCTTTAATCCCAGCACTCGGGAGGCAGAGGCAGGCGGATCTCTGTGAGTTCGAGGCCAGCCTGGTCTACAAGAGCTAGTGCCAGGACAGGAACCAAAAGCTACGGAGAAACCCTGTTTCAAAAAAAAGAAAAAAAAAAAAAAAAAAAGAACGTACGATCTCAATCTAAGAGGCAGACAAATTAAACTGATAAAGATTCAAGCAATGAGGTCAAGGGACACCACCACATCTCTGTATGTTGTAAACGACTGTGCTTACCCCAGCTTCGCCTCAGTCAAGGGCAAGTGCATTCATAACTGACATGTATATAGTGCTTTGAAACCCTTTGACATCTATAAGCCACTCGGCCCTCACAACAACCCTGTGAGGTAGGCAGGGCAGGAATGACTGCTCCCCTCAACAGACGAGGAGACCGCTGGCGAGGGAAAGATAGCCTCATGGGGTGAGCAGCCAGGATAAGCTAGCTATAGATTTGTTCCTTCCGGTTTCTACTAGGCCGCGCTTCCATTCCTAAAAGGCCTTTCCGTCAGGGAGAATCTCAGGAAAAAGGGATCTGGAAGGTAGCTAACAGAAATGGAGTTGTACCAGTCTGGGAAATACATCCATCTGACCAGTTCCTAGCTTTTGGTATTTGAAATCAATCTCTGAAGCAACTTCTCAAGCCCCAGCTGGAAAGCACCAGTTGCTTCTTCTACGGCCGTCGCCAAGCGTCTGACGGCGATGACGGCCTCCCTGCGCAGCTCATTAGCGGTGTCTTGCTGGGCACTGGCCTCCTCCCCAATAGCGATCAGCCTATCCAGCTTCTCTTCCTCTCTCTTGGAGAGTTCTCGTGCCAGCCTCCTGTTTTCTGCCAACTCAGCTGCAATGGTCCTGGCCACTGAGCGCCTTCTTCGCCTCGCCCACCGTGGAGGGGGCTCACTGGTCAGAGGTCTGTTTCCACTAGAGATAAAAGCAACTCTGGAAGAGGCACCTGGAGGCTGTGCTGTGGAGGCTGCTCCAACAGGGTTTCGGCTGGTGCTGGCACAGGGACTGGATTCCCTCGACACACTCAGTCTGGTCATGGGGTTGCTCTGACAGGGAGCAACTGCACCTCTGAAAAGGTGGTGGGAGCTGCTGTAGCTGGGGGTCCCTTGAGAGCACCCTGAAAAACAAAGCCACAGTGTTGCAGAGAGGACATTCCTGCTAAGGGAATGCTTGCAGGCAGCAACAGAGTTGTGACGATTACAAAAGTAGGGTAGTTCTTGGGAAGGTCTCTTTCCACGAGGGAATAAAAGGAAATGATTCTGTAATAAAACTGGCCCCATAAGTTACCCAAGACCCTTTCCATGTGGCTATGCAACCCATTCTTTCCCCTATGTATTCCTAAGCACCCATCACAAATAATGCCAGAGCTGGATATAGCATTCAGTGTTGGACACGTGCCAGGCATGCACAAATCATGACCAAACTAGCATGCTTTCAAAGAGCATGTCTTCACGTGTGAAGAGTTTGACCATATATGTAAGCTCAGAGTTAAAAACTTGGAGTACTTGAAAAAGGGGGTCCAATGAGACAGAAATCAAGAGTTATGCTCAAGACGGTGCTACCCAAACTTTTAACACTACTTGGGACCAAGCGACTCTGAGCCCCAGTCCGGTTCATGCTTGGGAGTTACCTGCACTCGAGGAATCATCCCAGGAGTCCTCAAGGTCACTGGCTTCTGGTATCCGGTCACAGATTCTCAGCTGACAATCCTCATCTGATTCCTTAACTGTTCGCAAAATACGCTGATGACCAGCTTCCTGTGTCCTTTTCGCTTTCCGCAAGCTGGTTCCCTCTTCCCCTGTAGTGACAGAGGTCCCTAAATCCTGATCACAGTGCTTGGCCCAAGCAGCAGCCTCCATGAAGTTGTCTGGGTCTGTCACTCTCTGATTTCGAAGAAGCTGGTCCAACGTATCATAAAACGGACAGTGTGGGGGATCCCCCATACTTGTGGCATGGGCAACATAGGCCTTTAAATATAATGCCTTCAGAACTTTAAACTTGGAGCGGCACTGCCGTTCGGTGCGGCGGAAGCCTTCCTGCTGCATCCGCTTAGACACGGCCTGATAGACATCTGCATTATGATGCATAGTCTGGAGGCGCTGGATGTACTCTGCCTCGCCTAGTATGGAGAGAAGCGTTCGTGTCTCCTGTCTGGACCAACGGATGCCCGCACTGCTATTGGTGGTGGCCATAGTGGACTGGGAAGGAAGGCTACTGCAGCAAGCTCCTGGGCAGCAGGGTACAATTTTGAAGGCGTGGGGAAGTTCTGTGTGCTCTCAGCATTTTTCCAGGAGCCAGCCGGTTCTTTCCTCTCAGGGCTAATGGCTGAGAAGTCAGGTCTGGGGGCCACACTTCTGGCTGGAAGGCCACAGGGGAATGAGAGTTACAGGGAAGGTGTAAGGATCATTCTGGCAGCAAGCTAAGTAGTGCTTCCTGTGTGTAGGTCAGAGGCATATGGCCAAGACTCTGGGAGTTCACCTACTCACAGGAAGTTCCACGGGCTTGGGAACAAAAGGACTGGCTCTTCTACCGAGGGCTAAATACACCCAAGGCTGAGACCTGATATAACCACGTTTTACAAAAATGACTATGGTGTGGTTAAGTGGCTAGGCAAGGAGAAAAATAACCTGAGCACGAAAAAGTACTAGCAGGGCTGTGGTCTAGTGGTATGTCTGAATGGTACTCGACTTTTACTAACTTTGGTTTATTTATTGTGGTGTGTCTATGTGTTACCCATCTGACGCTCCACGGCATTCTTGCTAAGTGGACTTAGCTTTCAAGGCCAGACAAGTGAGCCTGAGCTGGTCTGCTAATACAAAGTACATAATGTGATAAATGACAGTCACGGCAGCCTAAAGGAAACAAATCAAAACATCACCGGCTTCCAGGGGATAGATCTGGAAATGTTCTCTGTCTTGAATGGATCAACATTACTGTCCTGGTGATATTCAACTATACAGACTTGCTGGACGGTGCCACTGGGGAAACGGGTAAATCTAATAATATACTGGTTGCTTTTATTTTCTTTCGCGTGAAACTAGGATTATCTCCAAAGGGTAGGGGTTACTAAAAAAACTGCTAGCTCCTCAATGACTCTGGCTTCAAGATCTATCACAACTCCCCATTTATAATTAAAAAACATTTGATACCAACTTTTTAATATGCTTAACAATACATTTTAATAACACTACTAAAGCTAAAGGCTATGGGCGCATACGCATCACACACACACACACACAAATCTGAATTTGTTCCTAAATATTGTGATATCGAGTTCAGTGTACTAAACAGGCAAGAGCTAGTAAAATAAGTATGTTATGTAAATAAAGTATTACATCTAACAATTTCTAAGTTTTAAAGTCATCACAAGGAAATGTCTAATCTTTACATTGTCATTAAATGAAGTAGACCAGGGTGGAGCTGAGGACTACGATGAGTCCTGACCCGCAGGCTTTCCTAATCCACCTCTTTAATCTGTAGAAGTCACAAATTCCAAGTGCCTTGACTTCCTCGTCTGCCAACAGCAAAGGGCAGTACCCGTCCGACCAACTTTTATGGGGATGCTGAGAGGATTCAATAGAATCACAGATGTGAAAGCACTTAAAATACCACCCAGTACTACCACACCAGAGAAAATGACAAGGCCCTAATTATTATGATAATCTATAATTTGAGGAGACGGAAGTCTGGGGAAGGAAGCTTCTACAATCTTCTAATTAAAGTCACAACAGATGATTGACCTGCTTCTTAAGACGTTAATTAAGCTGTTTCCCCAATGATTACAGATGTGAGTCAATTGGAAAAGCAGTTCCCAGAAAGAGGCAGAAGGCCCCCCTAGGAGGAAAATCAATAGCAGCTACATAAATTATGACCAATTTGAAGAGATTTCACAAAACTCAATCACCATGCAGAGAAATCTTCACATTCCCACAAAATTATTCAAGTTCACTCAGTTAAAAAAACATGTAAAAATGCAAACTGCCCAAAGTACCGCTTGTGACTGACACAAATGGCCAAGAGTAAAGGAACGCCAGCATTCATTAATACCATCAGACCTGTCAACAAGAATCCAATTTCTGAGCAAACGCACTGGGGAACCACCCCAAACGACTATCATCAAATAAACTGGAGTATCTCTAGGTTTGTATTTTGCCTAGACCCTACAAGCGTATGTTTTCGGTTAGCACATCTTAAAAAGGACGTTCCATCATACCTTCTGCCAAGGAGCTGCTTCACTTTCACTACTGTGCTCGAGATATTTCTTACTCTACTTTGCTTTGCTGCCAGACCAACAACCTGAAAGAGAACAGTACATTAACGACAATGCACGCGAGCCTTCATTATTTTCAAGTACAAAGACGGGGGTAAGAGAGAAACCTGTTCATTTTCCGAGTAGGCAACGATGGCTGGCGTGACTCTATCCCCCGCATCGTTCGCAACCACATCGGCCCGGCCATCCTAAAAAGACACAGACAAGGGTTACTTCTTTCGCATTGGACTACACAAGCTCACCGAACATACCTGCAGGGCGTAGGCTTTTAGAAGAGTCTTTAGCCAGTGATGGCCATTTAGGCCTTGAAGTAACCGTTTGTAAACAATCCATGATGGTGACCTGAGATTCAAGTGGTTGTACTTCCTTTGGGATTTCGGAGCCTTTGCACCACCCCAAGTCACAAGACCTTCCTGGCAAACCAGGAATTCTGGCAATGGCTGAGAATTGCTTAGGTTCCTCAGACAACTAACTCCGAGATCAGTAAGAGGTTCTGGCATTTGGAAATTGACTTGCTAAAAGGTCTCTGGTGTAACAATCAATATAAGATCTTCTGCAAGGCTACTCAGGGGTTCAGTCCTCAGAGACTGGTCCAGCCTGCAGCTTGCAAAGCCTTATTACACCCTGCAGTGTCTCTCTCTGTATCATCCTGCTTTACCTTGGCGTTTATGCCAGTGTTACTCTGCCGTCTATTTGCAAAGAAAAAATGGTTTACCAATCTTTTAACTGCCACTATTAGTTTCACAGCTTATACTCCATGATTCCCCCTCCCCCGTTAGCTCTGTACAATAAACCGACTCAAACATTCTATACACAATAACTAGCAAACATTGCTACTAAGACTCTCCCACAAATACACCTTTCCTCCCTCCTTTCCTACAAATGCAGTAGCTAATCCCTTGGGACTTTCCTTCTAAATCACGTAACGCTTAAACTCGGAGTGGGTAAATTCCTTGTCGTTGTTCCTTCTGCCTCGATATTGAGGAGAAAAATGTCACAGCTCCTTGTCAAGTTCTCAGTTCAAGAATCACCAAGTGTGTACAGCAGGTGTCAATTCTTAATCGGCTACTCCTCTCTAGGCTGCAGTTCTACAGCGCTTCTGGTTGTCCAGAAATTCCAAAATCCTCCCTACTCCGGGAATCCCGAGCCCGTGACCTGGGTCAGCTGTCACGGTCACTAAGATCTCTCCGGCATCCAGGGAATTCTGACATTCAGGATTGTTCTAGGTATCTTTACAAGAATGATGACCCCCTTCTGACGTCTTCTGAACCCTCTGGTCATCCTATGACCACGGCCTCCTAAGTGAACCCTGCAGGTTTGAGGTTCCCTGCAGGTTTGAGGTTCCAGAGACTCCTCTGGGTATCCCATGGCCTTCTTGTTCCTGGAAAGCCTCAAAGGAGACATCAGCCCCGACGTCCCAGGAGGGAATCCCGGAGTGCCCGATATCCCTTCCGCATCCACCCTCCACGCAGCGGGCTTGGCTGTGGAGGACGAGCGGAGAACCCGCAATATCGCCACTCGCTCGCACGTAAGGTTCCTGGGTCGGGAACAGGGTAGACATCACAAACCCCAGAACCAGCTATCCAATCTTACCTTGTAGACAGCCACACAGGCCGATGTGCAGCCCAAGTGCACGCCGATCGCCGCCATGAGGCGGCGGAGACCACAGCAGCTCAACGAGGGATCCTTCCTTCAGCAGTCACCGATAGCCTCCTCGGAGCAAGCCCAGCAGGCACTGCGGAGACTTCACGTTCCCGCCCGCCTACTGCATCCGGCCTGCTGCGCCGGCCTCCCGAGCTGTAGCCAATCAGCATAAGGATCCCGCCTTCCTTCACAGCGGTTAGCCAATAATTTTAGCGCATCACTCCGCGCTCCCTTGGAGCCCTCCTGCATGCCGTAATGCGCACGCGCAAACCGGAAAGGACAGGAAGAGGCTCATAAGCTTCTTCGCCCGAGCCCGGTTCACGAGAGCCAATGGGAACTCTTGGCGTAATTGCGTCACTTGTTTCCTGCCTCCTCCCCGCTTCCAGAGCTTGCAACAGTAGTGCAGAGGCATAAGCAGAGACCGGTCCTAGGCTCAGGCTCAGGCTCAGGCTCAGGCTCAGCATGTGGTGCACGCGGTGCACCATTCCGGCTGCCCTAGTGACTTTTTGCGCCGGGCTTTGGATCTTGAATCCGGTGCTGGTGCAGGGCCTGGAGGCCGGTGTGCGGCCGGGGCCTGATTGTGAAGGTGAGCGGTGTGTGACCTGCTTGCATGGCGGCGACACCACGCTCAGCCCAGCAGCTTCTCCCGGGCCAGGCTGTAAATAACATCTCACCCGAGAAATGCAGTTCAGTCAATAATTTACCTCCCCACCCCCGCCTTTCGTAGCCTGAGCAAAAGCTTGACTCGGTGACACTTGAGAACACGTGCTGCTTTTGCTGTCATTAAGTTGGCGTAGGAAAAGGAGTGATTTAGGATTCCTGTTGAGTTTTGTGCAAATGATCTTGCTTCTAACTCAATTCTGTTGCTCCTAACCAGGGAGACTTGTCTCTCTGTGCCTAAGACATGTTTTGAGGTTCAAACTAATTTGTCCCTTTCAGAAGGAAAATAAAACATGACAATATTGTCAGGGTTGTTGAAATCAAAGACACAGTTATCTTTGGTGAGAACTTTCTAGACAGAAGTTGTTTTACAAAGGAGCGCAATAATTCCTTGAGAAGGATAAAATAGACAACCTTTTCCTTCTATGGACTTGGCGATCACAACACCTTTATCTAATCCACCAACCCCCTGACTTTGAGGGTGTTGTACTGCTTAAGTTTTACAAAAACAACATCCTTTTTAAAAGAACTGTTAACAGTAGCCAAGATGAAAGTTTCGATAGTCCCTTCCTTTGGGACCACATTCTTCTTTTATTAAAATAATTCAAATGTGTGTCTTCTGATCTTGAGAGTGGATGCACTAAACAGGAAATGTAGACTCACAAGCTTCACACTGAATAAGTTGAGTGTGTAGTCTTACAATAAATACTCTTAACTGAAGTCCAGCTTTCTATCAGCAGGTCAACAGAATTGGCTGGCTTGTTCTATATTTCTTTTTTTCTTTTTTCTGTCAAACAATGGCTTGTCTGTCAACTCTACCTTCTGCTGGGTTCTCTGCCTTTCTACAGACTTCCACTCTTTTCCTTTTTTTTAAATATATTTTTATTGATATTTATTGAGCTCTACATTTTTCTCTACTCCCCTCCATGCCTCTCCCCTTCCCCCTTCAACCCTCCCCCAAGGTCCCTATGCTCCCAATTTACTCAGGAGATCTTGTCTTTTTCTACTTTCTACTTTCCATGTAGATTAGATCTATGTAAGTCTCTCTTAGTGTCCACATTGTTGTTTAAGTTCTCTGGGATTGTGGTTTGTAGGCTGGCTTTCTTTGCTTTATGTTTAAAAACCACCTACGAGTAAGTACATGTGATAATTGTCTTTCTGTGTCTGGGTTACCTAACTCAAAATAATGTTTTCTAGCTCCATCCATTTTCCTGCAAAATTCAAGCTGTCTACTAACTCGGAGGTCCCAGGCTCGGGTGTGCCCGAACCCGCAGAGGACCTGCTTACTTCCCCAGAGGCCCCAGACTCGCTCTTGGACCCGCACATTGTTCGGGTCACATTGTTTCTTGGTTTAAAAAAGTCTTTCAGTGGTTTCCCAGTTTCCTCCAGGTAGTGGCTCCTGCTTTCTTTTCCCACATATCTAGTATGTTCCTCAGAAGATTCAAAAATTTCATTCTCTGCCATGCGACTGTGTACTTTTTCTGGGTGTCTCTAGATGATGTCTCTCACCCCCTGGTTCTCAGGATCCATTATGCCACACAATAGTCAGATTATTGAACAAAAGGATAGAAATGTGCGGTGATTTCATGCATGTTTTGGTGAGCCAAATGTCCGTCTTTCCCTCATTGGATAAATGATGCTGGTCAGAATGACAGCTGAGGTTGAGAAATCCTATGAGGATAGGCTGGGGTAAAGATAGGAGACTTTGCAAGACTGGATCTCTCTTGTAGGAAGACAAGATGAGAAGTTGCTTAGAGACTTTGATGAATTCCTGCTCACTGACAGCAAGATCACGGCAGCAGCTGTCCTCTTCTTCGCAGACTTAACATGCTTGATAATTAGGTTGATATGTCAGGAGACACTTTTTACTCTGTCAGTGACTCATAATGTCGTTAATCATTTAGATGTGTTTTTATCATTTGCCTCTAGGGAGACCACTGCTCCTTTCTCTTGTGCTGCCTTCCTGGATGTTCCAAAGAGTGCTTTTCTGATTCTGTCTTATATTCTCAACTCCAAAATGTTGGTGTTTCATGAAGATGATACCCAGGCCTATATTTCTCCATCTCCTTTTCCCTGTGATCGCATCTTCTGAATATTGCTTGAATACAAGGGATTACACATTTATGTACCATCCTAGATCACATCCCAGTTCTCAGATTTATAGTGATGTTCTGCACTTCAACATTTTAGCCAACAATGGGTCATGTATGCTAAGGTGGTTCTATGAAATTATGAAAATGTTCTATCACTCAATGATGTTGAATCACCTGTTTTTAATCATTTGTTTGTGTTGATTCGGGGCTTAGTCTAATGCATGTTTTTGCTTCTTAGTTTTTAGTAGACAAGTTTAAAAAGTAAGAAATAAATTAAGAACTTAAAGAATAAAGATTTAAAGAAAGAAGATATAGTGCAATGTTTGTATTTCAAGCTAAGTGTCGTAACAAAACAGTCAAATAGTTTTTTTTTTTAATTAAAGAATTTATATGGTGGAAAACATTGTAAGCTCTGGTTCATCTATCATGAAAGAAAGAAAAGTATTTTTTCCCCAAAAATTTCATGTAGCCTAAGTGTTCAGTGACTGTCGTGTCTAACTCAGTGTGAACTAATACATGTTTAGTGACTAGTTGTGTCGACCTCAGTGTGAACTAATACATGTTCAGTGCCTACAGTGTCGGCCTCAGTGTGAACTAATATACTCTTGACCTTCATAGTCAGTCTCCCCTTTCTGGCTCCTCCAGCACAGGCTTCATTCATAGTAGGAGTCACGTGTAGGCATACCATTTTATTTTAAGGCTGTCTTTTCTGAAGTTTTGTTTTTCCTAATGTATGTGTCTCTGATACATATGATACATGTGTT